ATATTTTGTTTGTAATAAGAGTGACTATTTTTCGTATTAAAATTTCTGTTTTTCTGAGACATAGTTGCTAAAAACATCTGTGTAAATATTAAGAAAGTTTTTAGAAAAATCTTTAATTTTCTATGCGAAATATAAGTGGCTTTTGATATGAATTTAATCTAAAATAAAGTTAAAAGTAGGATAAATTAAAAAACTCATTATCTCTTGCAAAATAATCTATGTTTAATTATTTTTTCTGCTTTTGCTATGATTTCTTCGAAAAAAGTAATTATGATTAAACGTCGAAAGTTTTTTATTATTTCTTGTAGATTATCATTTAGAAAAAATTTATTCAAAGTTCATCATTTTTTTCTATATAAATATTATTAACCCTAGTCCTACCAAGTCCATTTTAGGGATAATATGATGACATTTATTTTAATTGTGTAATTTTTCATTAGTCAACTAATATTTTTTGCCTATTCGATCTTGTGAAGAAATTATTAGAATCATAATATTTCTTTATTTAGAATAAATAATGCAAAAGATTCGTTTTAACAGAATGCACATCACAAACAGGTTCTGAATATTGATAACATTTATTTCGATCTTTTTTGTCTTTAGAACGATCAAAAAGCGAACACTGTTTTCGTTTTAATCTTGTAGAATTTTCACTTAATTTTTCCGACGGTTGCCCTATCATAGGATAATCGACAACGGCTAATGGATTTTAGATATTCTTATATAAAAATTTCGAGGTTCTCGAGGTGGATGTTGTCTCAATCTACGGTAAAAACTTATTTCGGTAAGGTTAAAGCTATATTCAATTAGATTAATAATGATTCATTGTATTGCGAACTAACAATTGAACTGGTTTCATATTTTTCTGATCTTCTTACAATTTTGTTAGCTGATCAAGAAATGAAATCATATCAAACACTCGTAATTAGCATAAAAAAAGAAAGATGAATTTCTTTTTCTATAGTCCACATTAAATTTTAAACGATAGAAAATGCGAAATATTTTTGTAAGCTGAAAAAATACCAAGATATTTTCGTTAAATTTCTGTTTTCCTACAGTGGAGTCCATTTGGACCCGAGCTGGTAACACTATGGTTAATAAATCATCATTGATTTATTGAAAGTTTCGAATAATTGAGATTTATTGAAAACAAAAAAATAGCATACTAATGCAAACATTGGACGTTAATTTTTGAAAGAATTTCTGTAATTCTGAATAGTTATAGTTTTGTTTTGCTATTTTTATTCATATGTAATACAAAAATAACTTAAGTAGAATATTGGACTTTGCCATTTATAAAACTATTATCGATAATACTGTTCTATAAGTAATTATTGGGGTTGTATAAGATTGCACTATTAATCATGTTCAATTATCTTCCTAGCTTCAATCTTAATCACCTAAGAGATAGGTTACAGGTACAAGCTTTTATATTCTTTGTTGTTATTTTTCATCAGTCTTTTTTTAGCATCTTATAGGCATTTCTTATTGCTTAGTTGAGTGTAACGTCATTACTGACTGTAGTGCGTTTTTTTTAATATTTTATTCTTTCTCTACTCATCGGCATATACTTTTAAGATATTTAATTTCATTTTAACCTTAAAGGTTAAAATTGATACTTTTAGTTCAATATTTATTCTTAGTCGAATATTTAAATAAAGCCGTTGGTAGATTAGAAGACTTCCGGTCTTCTATTATATCCCTAAAAATAGTCATATATTTTGTCACCCTCGACGATATAATTTTTATAAAAATCTTTTAATGCTAGTTATGTTGTTATTAAATATTTATTTCATTTTCCTACACTATTACAGTTAATAAAAACAGTTTACATTCTATTACTAAAGAACATTACACAAAACGGATATCTTTATCATAAAATGTACTAAATCACACAAAATACGATTAATTTACACATCATAGTAGAAATATTTTTCACAGGATAAAAAAACTCATGTATAAAATACTGTTATTTCATACGATCAAATAGAAAAAAAAAAGAATAAGTTTTAGATTTTTCAGCATATCCTTCATGATTAACCGTTTGTATTTAGTTTTTTCTTTATTGAATCTGTAACTTGTTCATCTCTTTCTAAATCAAATTCTTAATAATGATCGATATGTAATGGTAGTAGATGAGAATTTGAGCTCAAATCATTATTCATAAAAGATGTTTTTTTTTTTTATTCAATTATGAAAACAATTATATAGTTGACTGTTAGTGAAAAGAGTAAATCATAACAGACATTATTTTTCACATGACGTAAGCATATGTCTGTTAATTACATTTTATATTATTTGAAGTACACAACACGTTGAACGTCAGAAATAGAAAAAAAATGTTTCTGAAATGAAGATTAGAAATATACAAATAGAAATAAAAAGTATAAACATGATAGAAAAACTAAAAAATCCATTAGTAGAGGAGGCGAAGGTCTTCGAACGCATCAAAGGTTTTATAAGACATTATTATTTGTTAAAAGATGAAGCATTTCCAAAGAAAAATTATTTTCTTTTCTTTTTTAATGAAATACGTAATATACTTTTGTTTTTAATGATGTATTATTAATATCAAGGTTTGAGAATAGTTTACCCTCGATGGATTTTTTTTTGAAGACTTACTTCATGTTAAATATTTAATCTTGCTATTTATTTTGAAATTAAGTATTTAAGTACTCTTCAATATCATACATACTATGACATGTTTACCTTAGAAGTAAATTCTTTTGATGTTGCTAAACTTATTAAAAGCATTTCCAATAACATATATAATGGAAATAGCATTTCTTTTTTTATTATATATGTTAATCGTATAAAATTCAGTGCGTTTAAAAGATTTTAATCTTCTATCAGTAGATCATTCATTGTTTCAATTTTAAAAAATCATGTCGACTTCTCCTATGTCAATGTTTACAATTATTTCACAACAAGTTACTATTTATTTGGGTTTATTTATTTTAATAATTGGTTTCTTTGGTGGACTTTTAAATATTATTATATTTTTAAGTCTTCAAACATTTCGACAAAATTCATGTGCATTTTATTTAACAGCTATGTCATTTGCTAATATTATTCATTTAACAATTAATTTACTTAGTCATATTATAATTAATGGTTATGAAATTAATTTGACAGCAAAATCAATAATTTATTGTAAAATACAACTCTTTCTTGTTGAATTATTTTTATTAACATCATTAACATGTATGTGTTTAGCAACACTTGATCAATTTTTAGCAACTTGTTCTAATCCATTTTGGCATCGATGGAATAATATTAAATTAGCTCGATATGTTTTAATAGGAACTATTTTATTTTGGCTTCTTCATGGTATTCCATCTATAATTTATTTTGATATCATTGTATCACCATCCAATATGAATCAATATGTTTGTTTAATTACAAATACAATCTTTCAACAATATATTACATATGGTTTTGTTTTTATTCTTATGGGTCTTTTACCTCTTATCATAATGGTCTTATTTGGTTCATTAGCGTACTACAACGTACGAAATCTAGCTTATCGAACTGTTCCATTAGTTCGACGAGAATTAGATAAACAATTAACAAAAATGGTACTTGTTCAAGTTATTTACAATATCTTCGTTTTAACACCATTCGTAATTGTTGCTCTTATAGCTTTTAATTTACCAACTATTGATCAAATAAGTGCTGTTCGAGTTTTGGCTATTGATATACATAATTTTTATTTTGCAGTAAATAGAAAAAGATTTTTGAACGAAAAAAAATTTTTTTTTAAATAATTTTCTTTTTTTTAGAGTCCTTTCTATATATATATATGTGTATCAAAACGATTTCGTCAACAATTTATTCATGTATTTTGTAACATTCATTTTAATCTATACAAAAAAACAAATATAAATAATAATCAAATACAACCAAAACCACCAAATACATCAATCAATCCTATTTCAAAATGAAAACTTGAACTCTACTATTTTATTATATATATCATTCCTCTTACCTTTATTAAATATATATTATATACATGTCCAGAAAAATACATTTGAAAAATAAATTTATCCATAAAAAAAGTTATTATTCAAGCAAATCAAATGAAGTTATGATAACACTATACTATTATATGGAAAGTTCGAGGATAGTTTTTTTTCTTCTAATGTACTCGTCGAACTTATAGTGTTCTATTCAGAACATATCAAAGTGTCGAAAGCTCGGGAAAAAATTCTGTCCAAATATATATATGTAGTAATGACAGTGCTCTATAAGCTTGTATAATAGCAACACTAGTCAAGTGATAGTATAATATGAAAAAGTTCAATAAAAGTAATGCATACTTATTTTAAGATGAATAAAGAAAATTTCCATATCTTCATTAAGGTGCGTACTGCACTTAACATTCAATCGAGATCAATGCATAATGAGTGATATTCTGTTTGTTTTTTGCGATCAAGCTTCATCTTAAAATATAGTGATCAAATGATAAAAACGATTTTGAGAAGAGTTTGAAGATCGACGACGACTTGGATGATCTATAATCGAGATAATGCCTGAAAATATTGAAGAAGTTCGTTACCTTATTGATGATAATCATCATCTTAAGATTGATGAAATAAAATTAGAGACTAGTATGAATCATGGTGTCGTTGAATGAATTATTGCTAACTATCTGAAAGTGGAAGAAAAAAGTTATTGACTGATACTTCTCAACGAGCCAAACGGGTTCAACTTTGTCAATGAAATTTGGCGAAATTTCAGCAAGGAACGTGGCAGTTTTACGATGTAGTGATATGTGATAAGTCATGATTTTAGCATAAACGACTTGGTCGAAAATCATCGAATGCTTCCGGAAGATTAATTGAAGGAACTCCATCTACTGTAGTTTGAAGCAGTCGCTTTGCTTCCAAAAAAACCCCTATTTGGTGTCTTTTTTCAAAACGATTTGTCCTGTACTAATTCGTCATATTGATCAAAACTAGGCCATCGATCATCACTACTACATCAATTATTGCTTGGAATCTCTTATCGAGGAAATCTAGACGAAAAGATCAACATCTAGTGCACATGCCATAAAACTTCGACTTAACAATGCAAAACTATATATCCATAAAGATGTTTTAAACTATCTCTTATTGGAAGATATCAAAATTAATTGACAATCACCGAATTCTTGAGACCTGGTATCATGTGATTTTTGATTATTTGATTTTATCAAAGCAACTAACAATCTTTTGACCGTGTCGTAATCAAAATCATAAACTATATAAAAACTTTTGTTAGATGTCTAGAACGAATGCACTTGTATGTAAATAATCAGAACAACTACTTTGAATATTTAATCAAATGAAATCTAGAATAACTTGTTTTGTGTATTGTTTTTTTGAAAATCTCGTTACTGTTGGTATAGTTCTTCAATTTCTTATCTTTCTTTAATTAATAAAATAATAAAAAGTATAAAGATCAACAGTAAGAGTGCTGTTTTTATTGCCAGGCACTTTGTTGATGAAATGGACTAAAATGTAGAATTCACAAGTGTTCTTTAGCTTCAAGAGAAATTTTTTTTAACTAGCACTCTCATTTTTATGTTTGCCTTGTTGTTATTCTCTCATTTTTCTTAATTTATCATTATTATTGTTCGAAACATTAATTTAACTGACAGATAGACCTGCTGTACATATCCATTACATCCACAGCAGAACACAATTCGTTATAATGCATCCGGATAAACTCATCAACACTGATATCAATTGTTCTTGAAAGTCATAATTTGATCAATTGATGCTTTTTTTTATGTTGATTATATGACAACTGTTGCATATCAATACATAATTGTCTATCATTCTTGACATCTGTTATATAATTATTTATCTATGCAAAAAATCAAATATTGTGTTATTTAGAATATTCTCAAACGTAGTCAACGCCTTTAAATTTCAAGGAGGATTTTGGTATCTGAGTCTTGTTTTAATGCCTTTTTCAGTTGCTAAGGAACTCTGGGAAAAGAATCTGGTGGTTGTTGTCCTTGGTTTCTAACAGAATGTAATCATTCATCCTTGAACATTTCCACAGACTATTAAGATCCAAAATAGGATACGAGTGGGGAACAAGAAAATTTCGACTTAAAACTTACACTCATAATTTTCCTTCGAAAAAAACATATATGAGTTTCATAATATACATCACTATTTGTGCAATCAATATATTTAGAGAAAAAACTTTCTCTAGTTTTCTATGCAATAGTATTGTACTACTACCATTACTTTTGGTATAGCTGAAGTACTTGAGAAAAGAATTTGAAGAAGTCAGAATTCAAAAATCATATCTAATAGAAATGATAATTGAAATCTTTTTCATTTCATTCACATTTAATTGTCTTTTGTTATCATGAATGTATCTATGAATCATGGCAGATCAAACATAATTTTACGCAGTAATAGCTGTTTCTTCTATTGTGATAAAAAAAAGATTTCTTATATGTATTGATGAGAAAAAGAATTAATACAGGTGAAATTACAATCAAAGAAACATCTATAGATACAAGTATTGTTCTTTTCTTCGATTTTGATAAGTTATTCTTTTGTTTTCTGAATTAAGTTTCAAAATATTTTAATCGAAAATAAAAAATAAAATATTGTCGTAACATGGATTTTTTTTTGTATTATGTTTTGCTTTTCTCGTTTAATAATATCGGTTTGTTTTAATTGAATTGAATGATAATAATACAAAATGTTATAAAATAAAATTTATCTTGTTTACGGTAAACGAATGAGATTAATAATAACATTTTCATCTCTATGTTGTAATAACATTTCGCCTTGAAATTTTAAATAACCATGTTTACGTGCTTTTAATAAAATACCAACTAATTTATCTGAAACATTTGTATAAATCTTAAAAGAAAGGAATTGTTTTTTGTTTTTTTTTAAGAATTTTATTTAAATGAAATGTATAATATACTTCAAATAAATCACCAAATGTTATTGTTATTGTTCCATCTTCTTGTTTTTGTCCATTACTTTGAATTATTTGACATAATTGTTTCATTTCTTCTAAAACTTGTTCTCGAACTTCATGCCCACGATGAGCTAAACTAAAAAAAAAAAGAAAGATAAATGAAAATTAGATTTCGGTTCGTTTTATATCTTACGAAATTCGATTGACTTACTCAGCTTGATCAGCCGATGGTGGTGCACCAGTTTGATTAACTATTTCTTGAAATTTATTGACTCGACTAGCCAAATGATTTTTTCTTTCTTTTGGACGTTTAACAAATTCTTTATCATATTGCATACTTTTGTCACTTGTACTCATGATTAAATCTAGTATGACGAAACTACTGTTTGTGTTCTATTAAATGTTTCCAGCAAGAAGAATTAATAATATCGGAAGTATTATATTGCTAGTAAGAGCGAAGAACATATATATATATGCTTATAAAAAACGGCAATAGTAATACTTAAGTCAAGAAAGTACAAAAATGGACATAGAATATAATCATCCGTTAGAATATAGTGTAATAATTCATATATACGGATATATGCCATCATAAGAACATATATAAACGATAATGGCAGAAGGAAAAAAACAGATTGCATCGATGAGAAACGACTTTTGTTGTATAATTCCATCCATAGTACTATTTTATCCTTTGACTGTTAACCCTAATAC